TGTGATTATGTACATTTGAAATAATGGGCCAGATCCTTGCCCCACTCTATCTCAGTTGTTTTGTGGGGTGTGTGGGGGTGGTGGTTGTTGCAGTCATCAAAGCAGCTGGAAGCCTGGTAGGTCTGGAAATCTTCAGATTTGTCTTGGTATGGGGAAATCCTCAGGAGCCAGGCCACCAGCAAATGAAAATGCTGGGGACTGGAACACCCCTGCACCCCAGCAATGGCCACCTGGTGCAAGAGCCAAGTTTTTTTGGGCTGTACCTACAATGGCACCAGACCAGTGGCAAGTCTGCTACCAAACACGAAGCTCTACTGAACTATACCTGCTGTGTATACCCGTGACCTAGAACTGAGGTGATGAGAACACTCTGGGGTGCCCTGGGTTTGACATCTCTGTCTCTGACTGATGGACGGTACATCCAGACAAGTGTGCATGTGTGGTCTGTGGCACCACAGACCCAGCTGCAGCACTGCACATGCAGGTGTTCCCCATGCTGCTGATCTGAGCTAGAAAAAAACTAGCTTGAAAAAAGCAGGGTGGTACACGTGATGGCAGTGTATGCCACCCAAAACTGGAGCCAGGCCAGCCAGAGTGTGCATGCATGGGTGTTCCCCAGTGCTGCTGCTGTTTGTCCCCAGGGAAACGCGTGTGCACGTGCATCTTCTGGATGCACCCAGAGATGTCAAGCAAGGAGCAACCCCAGAGCTTCCTCACCACTTCAATTCTAGGTTTGAACAGGTGGATTGGGAGCAGGTGGGCAAATGTTATTCTTTGGTAGTGGCCTCAAAAGCAGTGCACAACCAGTGTAGACATACTCAATCAAATCATATCAGCTGAACTTAGAACAGCCTTGAGGTTGCTTGCAGTTAAGCTGAGAGAATAGCCATCCCAGAGCAGCTCTGTGCATTGGCACATTCTTAGTTTTCCTGGATGCTGTTCAGATACAGCTCTTATTGTCACAATATTCCAAGTCTCCTCGTTTCTCTGATCTACTTCACCACCCTTTAACATCCCTTAGCCTACTGACTTCTATATAAGTGGCATCTACTGGCACTAGGCATTAGTGCAGAGGAAATGGTTTATTAAATATATGGATATTTATGGGCAAGCCTCATAAATTAAGAATAAAATACTACCAGTGACTACAAATTCACTTCTCCATACTTTTTTCTCTTGTTTTTATCTGGAGAAAAGGCAAACTTCTAGAGTAGATTTGTATATCAACAGATAAAGGTCTAAAAAATTATCCTTTTGCAACTTTCAGAGCTAGAGTGAGGAGACATTTTAATAGACAAATGGAAAAGTAGTAATCAAGTTTCCTTCAACAGGAGTGTTTGTTTTTTTCTTAGATAGCATGCAGCTCTAGTTTAGATCTGTTTATTAAGCTGGTCTATTACTCCTAAGTAGAACCACCATTAAAAGGTAACTAAATGGCAGTATAAGCCAGGGTAGTAACCACTGGTACTACAGAGTGGTGTTAACAGAGCTCATTTTTACTATGGTTTCCCTTGAAATTACTATCATGAGGTTTCATATTCTTAATTAAAACCTAATAATGATGACTGCTAAAAATAATACTTACTTTTTTCCAAACTTGGATATAAACAGAAACACAACCAATTTGTTTTCATTCCACTGTTGAATATCAAATCACCTATGGGGACCACACTGAAATGCATGATGGTTCCTATGTATTAGTTTTATACACATCTTAATACTATTAAAACAGCCTTTTCCAGGCACTGTTCCTATCTCTTATTAATGTTACTTGCAGGTTTCACCTACTGCGGTCAGATGTCCTATATGCAAAGCTGATAGTAATGGGAGAGGAGAGAATGCTGACAGCTGCAGGAGCAAAAATATAAATTTAAATTATATTTATTCATACATGACTTTCTTTCATAAAGCTTTCAACAATACTATCAGTACAAATTACGATACAGAAGACTAGATTGTAAAATGCCCTTCTGTGAGAATTTTATTTTCAATTTATCAACTGAAGGGCCACAGGTTGTCTCAAACTACTGTAATTTTCCAGATAAACTGTAGGAAATACATTGAAAGGTATACTGAACATTAAACAGGTTTCTAACCCTCCACTTTAATTGCCTCAGATACTTACATTTTTACATTAAATAAACCTTGGGGGGGAGGGGGGAGGGGGGAAATGCAGTGTACAATTCATAAAAACACCTAAGGCTTTTCCAGATTTAGTTTCTTATTTAATGATTTACAATTATTTACAACACCACCTTACTTGTATCTCTTCTGTTGCTGGAAATTAAATGAATTGTCCCATAGTTGCTATCTATGGGCAAGAACCCACATACTAAGTCGACTTAAAATTAGGTGACTTAACTAAGTAGACTTAAGTTAAGCCACATCAGAGGATATGCATGCACAGCTCCTTGACTTAGTGGCAGCCATCTTGTGAGCTAAGTCGACTTAACTAATGCAACTTGAGATAATACAGTGCCAAGGTGTATTATCTTAGTCTGCATTTAAGTTGACTCTGCTCCACATACGTGTGTACGCTCTGATAGTGAAGTCAACGTTAAAAAATTAAGTCGGTTTAACTGTCAGAAAGTTAGTATGTGTGTATACTGCTGTCATTAGCTGTATGTACTAACAGATCAGCAGTGAAGCAGATGGTTCAGTGCACCATTTAAGTTCCTCTTAAGATGAGGTTTAACTGGTAAATCTTGCACTGCAGTGGACTTCACCCTTACAGCAAAATTCTGACTATGGTTAAATAGGTGAAATATTATTGTAAAGTACAACTGAAGGAAGAATATGGTCCCTATCATTTTGATGGATTCTAAATACAATCAGTTGACATCTAAGGGCCTAATCCAAATACCATGGGGTTAATATGAGTCTTTGAGTTGGTTTCAAATGGCTTCACATTCACTGGACATGATTTAAAGAAAGTAACCTCTCACCTTTGGAAAGGAATATTTTTCATACTTTTGATACAGCACCTCATGATTTTTATTAGGGTTTCCAACCCTCCAGAATTGCCCTGGTGTCTTCAAGAATTAGATATAATCTCCAGAAAACTGCTGAGTAACCCGGCAGATAGATGATAGGGTGTTCATTAAAATAAATATTAAATGTTGAATCCAACTTATACAGTAGTCCAAAGTGGTTTTAAAATGTAATAGTAATGTACATTTGCCTTCTTGAGTACAGTACAGTAGTTCAGTCATTAATGTCATTACATCATGTGATGAAACCCCCCAGAATAGACTCAAACAGAGTTGGTAACCCTATTCTTTTATGTATCTCACAGCTTAAGGCAAGAATACAGCATTTGGTAGGATGTTGTATATATCTGTAACATTCTTTGAAGTGGGTCAAGACTTTATTGTACACTGCAGTTCTTGACTGTACTCCCTTCATCTGTGACACATGCAATATTCTTCACATTACCCAGCTGTTACAGAACATCATGTTTAAGAGAACACAACAGGATACAAATTGCTCCTACAAGATATGAGGGTTGTTGTGTCTCATGAACCTTGTCAGCCTCTCAGAAAAAAGAAGAGTAGATCAGATGTTAGCTCAGGCATATTTAAATATGTGGTTGCATGGTTTTCTGTATTCCTAAGAAACCTGTTTTGCTAGCACCCACTTCCAGTACACCATGATAACCATGCCTGCAATAATATAACCAGAAGTGGGTAATAAGGGTACTAGCCCTGGGCAACCATTTGGGGGCAGAGGAGGGCATAACAATAGCAGCCACTACCACAGCTGGCTCAGTCCCTCCCACCCATGGGACAGACCCTGGTAGTTATGCCTCTGCATTTCTCCCTTGAAAAAATGTTCTATAGGACCAACCTACTCCATTAAGAGGTTTCCCAGAATCATTTCTATCTGATAAACTTCACATCTCCTAATTCAGTTCCTAATTCAGTTCTAACATGAACTCTGGCCAATAATTTTCTCTCCATAAAATCTTTCATGGGTTACTGATATTTACCTGGAAACCATATATATATATATATATATATATATATATATATATATATATTTATTC